TCGTTGGGTATGATTTAATTATACACATAATAACTGGTCTGATTAAAGTCAACAATCCGCAGTGTGTGAAAAATTCAACCGTTAATTGGAATCCACGCGCGAGCTCTCAAAAAAATTAATTCTCTTTAAACGCCATCGCGCCACTGAAAAATTGCATTTTACAAGTAATCCCAACCACTAAGGGGCGAAACAGCAAGATTTTTTATTCCTTTTCGTTGCTCATATATATTCTAGTGTAATCGATAAATTATGGAAAGAAACTACCAGAAAGTGTTTTTTACGAACAACGTTAAGAAGTCTTTAAGAACAACCAAGGCCAAAAGGATTGAAGTATTCAATTTAAAACTGTTTAATAAAAAATAGTGAAAAACTGATTTCAAAATTAATTATTTTTGAAGGATGCCGTTGGCATGCCTTTTTTGCTTTCAAAAATATTCAATATAAACCTCATGGGAATGCTATGGAAGAATCATCAAACAGGTTTCAAGCGATGAAGGGTGTCAGACAGGGAGGTGTTCTCTCGCCCTTACTGTTCAACATATACACCGAATACATAATGCGGGACAATCTGGATAACTGCCAGGGTGGCATATCTGTAGGAGGAAGAAAAGTCAGCAATCTGAGATATGCCGACGATACACTAATCATAACATCCAGTGTAGAAGAAATGCAATTTATTATGCACCGTCTCCAGGAAACTAGCGCAGAATTTGGATTGAAATTAAATCCCAACAAAACTAATGTCATGATTGTACACCGGCAAAACCAGAACCAACCCCACGTAAAAACATGGCTGGGTTCAATGTGGTGTACTTGGGATCCTTAATTGACAATAGCGGTGCATGTGAAGGTGAAATAAAGCGAAGAATTGCACTAGCTCGAACAGCCGTAACTAAGTTAAGTAAGATCTGGAGAGATACAGCCATCACTAAAAACATCAAACTAAGATTGTTGAGTTCACTTGTGTTCCCGATTGCCACTTATGGAGCTGAAACCTGGACGATCAAGAAGAGCGATGCAGGGCGGATAGATGCCTTTGAAATATGGGCGTACAGACGGCTGTTACGGATATCCTGGACGGCCCGCCGTACAAATGACTCCGTTCTTCAAGAACTAAATTCTGAACTAAATCTGTCAAAAACGATAAATCGAAGCTTTCTAACATTCATTGGCCATATTGCAAGAAGAACGGACTCGCTGCAACTACTAATAGTCGAAGGAAAGGTAGAAGGAAGACAGTCGCGCGGAAGATCACCCAAAAGATGGATAGATCAAACCAAGGATCTTATCAGCCATGACCTTCATGAAACCATAATCATGGCTCAGAATAGAACGGAATGGCACAATACCATAAGCACTGCTTCAAGAGCATCATAGTCACTAATCCCTTCTTAGGGAAATGGACTAAAGAGAGAGAATGCTATGGGCACAATGTTTCTACATTTTTTAGCACCCTCTGATGTTTAAAAGAAGCTTACCCAATTTGATTAAACATGTAATGCAAGATTAAAATTATCACAAAAAACAATTTTGTTCTTAGAAATTTAACATCCTATATTTCGGAAGCGAACCACAGGCAGACAATTGCTTAATGAAATGGTTGTCTTAAAAATCCTTGGGGATTGGTTCTTGGAAATATTTTCAACCCAATTTGAAGTTTATAAAAATCGAAAACAGGAGCAAATTCTGTACAAAATCAAGAGCAAACTAGTTTTCCTGAACCAAGAATTTATGCTATGCCAAAAATTAAATATACAGGTTTAGTCAACTTAGATTAGTTTTTGCTCCTCTCCTTCTAACGAATAAACCAGCTGAAAATGATAGACGCCATAATAAGACAAAAGGTGTGACCTAAATGACCTATGTGCTCTACATGGCTTATTGTAAATTTGACTCCGGGAGCAAGGAATTATAATAACTGTTTATTAAAAAATTATCAACTAACCAAGAAACGCCAGAAAGACCAGCAAAATCTCACGAACTTTTCCAAACAAGTCACTTGAGAGATAGTCGACAAATTATGTACCAATTAAAGAAGTTTGGTTTATTTTATTTTAAATTAAACCGATTGTGAGTGGTGTGATCCTTTATCGTCAGATTCAAATGAAAACTGCATTTCTTATTAATTAAAAGGGAGACATTTCTCTGTTAAAATGATGAAATAAAAAACTTCCTTTGCAAAATTTATAAAACAGTAGATCTAAGCCTCTTACAATTTTTGTTGCTCACAATGTTTGAAGGGTGAAACAAACACAACAAAATAACAATAAAGGATCATATTATGCGATAAATATAACGGCATTTAAGTCACGAGCTGAGCGAGTGTTCAATAATCGAATGACTTAAAAAGTTTACCAAACGGTTTACATACTACACTTTTTCTAGGACCGTTAGTTTGTGGGTATACTTTTGCAAGACAACATGGATACATTCACTGACACAACCGTTAAGACTGACAAACGTCAAAACTCAAGCCGTGAGATAATATCTCCGAAAACATCCGATTGATCCCAAACTCGTGCGGTCATATTCCGGAAATGTCCGAAATGGCTCGGATCCGACGAAACTGACACTTTCTGCGGACTAGATCGGTGTATAATTAGGTATTTTACAGACGGAAGTAGAAAAAATACCTAATTACACATCCATCTAGAGTGTGAGAAGCGTCACTTTACCACGTCAGTCTCGTTTTCCACGGATCCGAGCGGGTTTTGGGAGCAATCGAATGTTTTCGGAGGTATTTCTCAGGCCTTTGAATTTTGACGGTCATGTGAATGTATTCATGTTGTTTTGCGAAAATGTAGGTACCCAAAAACTAACGGTCTTAGAAAAAGTATAGTATGCAACACGTTCGGTAAACTTTTTAAGTCACTCGTTTATTAAACATTCGCTCCGCTTGTGCCAAATAAACCCATGAGTTAAATACCGTTTACAGCAGTTGTTGCATAATATACTATTATTAGTTCTTTTGACGTGTTTCATTTGTATAATAAATATTTTTTTTTAAATAAGACAAAAAAAAACATTATTGCTGCCTTAGCGAGCGAAACCTTTCAAAAAATAGTAGTAGGAAAAAAATACCCGTGTGGGCGTTTGCGTGTGTGTTTGTGTAGAGCTCGTCTTCCGTATTAAAATAAATCGCTTGGAAAAATAACGTTTAAACCGCTTTTTGCTGTTTTTATAATTATTCATCCCCCGCTTTGACCTGCTGTCCTCAACAGATGACCTTTTTCTACACCCACGTTCAAACTGTATGCCTCCAGACTCACTTTCCATACTTGTCAACCAATAGACGTTATTGGGAAGTTTTCAGGCATATAATAAATGTATAATACTCCACATTGTGCATTTAACTGCACGTGCTGGGAGATTTGGCAACAACGTGGGCACATTAAACACTTTATTTTATTTGGATTTGTCAGTCTGTTTCCCCGCTATGTAGGACTCCTTAAAACTTCAAGATTTTTCAAAAATTAATCACCGCTTCGGTTTTGGCTAAAATTTTGTACTTTAAATTAGCGCTAAAACTAATCCCAATTCTGAGATCACTACAATCCTAGTTCCAAGGATCAACCCCAAACATGGAAATGGAATACGCGAAATCTTAAATATCGTTGAAAACGTACAAAAATTTCAGTCGGACAAAAATTGGCATTGAATGAAAAAACAATTTTTTCTGCTTTCCGTGCACAAGCACACATTGTCTTTAAAAGATCACCCGCGACTTTAAATTAAGAGGAGACTCACATGTGCGGTCAGCAGAAAACCTTCGTGCCATTCTAAGAACGAATTTCCAACAAGTAGTTCTAACTTTTTGTTATAACCCAACACTTGACATTATTTAGAATATCAGAAAAAATAAGTTTGCTGAACTTTTACTAGACTCGCGAATAAGCACGTTCCAAGAGAAGTGGTGGGCAGGAACTTCCCTTATACTACACCTAGTAATAGTTATCAATGTAATTTCGTCCTCTCCCCCCTCGTTCCGGCATTCCTGATTCATAACAATAAACGCTTGTCTTTACACTGTGCAAAATATCACGACCTTCAACGTAGTCATGCAGACCAATCCTTATTAATCAACACCTACGACGGTCTAGGAGCTACTAGAAGTCTAATCTTATCAAGCTTAAGCGATATTAAGCGCGAAGTACAACTCGAAAAGCAATTATTCTAGCGCCAATATTGATCCGGGCACGTAATATAACGTTAAACGACATATCTTAAGAGGAGTCCTGTATCCACCGCGTCAGTGTACATATTAACACAATTAGCGACACGCTACAACGTACTTACTTTAGACACAGATAGAGAGCACAAAGGATAGCGACATTTTCACTAACTCTCGACAGCGGCACCCTTGCAACTTGAGAAAACAAGAAGATTTCGTACCAACCCCATTCGGGAAGTTCAAGTATATACGTTTTGTGAGGAGGCTCTTTTATTTGCTTTTCGAATCTGTCCTTGAAGGAAACTGCTTCTTCGTTTAGTCGAGGATGAATGTTTACTAGAAATGGATGTTTTTTCGATTAACTAAGTGGTGCACATATATCCTTCCTTAGAAACAACCTAATCTGAAGAACTCCAAATAACTAGTATAGGCTAAGAAGATAGGCTAGGCTGACGTTATTAAAACTCCTATATAATATATATGTTTTGAAATGTATATGAGTTTTTAATTTTTACGATCATTTTTCTATTATTATTCCCACATGAAGTTAATCTAAGTTGTTTTCTTCCAGCTCTGCATATTTTTGTCTTCCATAGTTGTTATAAAAAATCTTGTCTTTTTTAATCCTTGCTGGATATTCATTTGCCATTTTATAGTATATTGTTGTTATTTGAGCAATGAATCCGTCTTAACAAATCTTTATGTGGGTTAACTCTATTGTTAATTCTACAGCAGATCGACAGTTTTAAGGAACTTACCGGAAATTTGATTTCTCAATTAATTCAATTTTTTTTCATATTAATTAAAAAATTGATATTTTTTATTTCAGGTATACCCGAAGCATCGATCAGTCAGCTGGAAGTGGTCGGTTCCCTTACGACCAGCCTGGAAGCGGAAAGTCTATCAAGTTGCCAAATTCAGGCCTTCATCCTCAGCAACAACCATTTGCAATACGTTTCGGAAAGAGCTTTTAGGTATAGCGATTTTTTTGTATGCACATATATAAATCGGGTTAAGCACCAGATGATTCAGTAGTGCCCGTAGCAAAAATCAATAAACCCAACAGAGAAATATTTTTTTTCGCCCACACAAACAAATAACAAATATATTTTGAAGGGAACGGTATATAGAGGTCATAATTGAAATTGATTTTATGCCCTCCCTTTTTGGAAGTTATTGTTGCTACAAAATAGACCGTAAATGCGATAAACGCAGAAATGTATTTTATATTTTTAATATCAATAAAATCGGAAATACAAAAGTTGGTGGCGCCTTTGATCTTCTCCCTTGCGTTTGATTTTTCTTTGTGAAGTGGCACGTGAAAGTAGTGCTTGTCACCAATATTTAATAAAATCTGAAAGTAATATTATATTTATTAATTTAGATGATTCTCTCGAAATGCTACTGTGTTTAATTTAATTACAATCGAGATTCCGATGTTAAGACCACAGTAGTTTCCACAACTTTGGGCAGCATTTAAATTTTGTCTAGACCAATATTTCCAGATTTGACTATTAGTTGACATATCAGTTCCGGCAGTGGCCTGCTCCTTCTTGAAGTCAATTCGATTAATCTATTTGTCGGCAATAGCAAATTACAAAACAAACGTAATACTATTCGCCATTACATTTTTAATTGTTGAATGTTTATTTGGAAGAATTTGAACCAGACTTTAATGGCCCCTGCATCTCCATCAAAACGAAACGGGATACAAAAGTGCAGCTTTCTTTAGTACGGTATTAAGAGGATCCCATAAACACTGAACAGTTTCAAGTAGTAGAGGTAATAAAACTTCCTTTCTGCGTCTGCGAGCAAGTTAACTTTTTTTAAATTGGAGATTTCACCGCTTATTATCGCATTTTTTTACGCTAGGAGTATACAGAGTGCTTAAAAATTTGGTACAAAGCATAAAGAGGTGATTTGCAATTTAGATATTTCTTCAGATAACTTTACATAATAAAATGAATATTACTCGCAATAACTACAGACCTTTTATTTTTCTATTTCTTTGTAGTAACATTCGATTGGCATTTTGCAAATATATTTTAAATTACCGTGGGTGGGTCAGAAATTAAAATTTTTTAATTTAATTTTTAGTAATATTCATATTTATCTTTTGTTGTTCAGTTATTATCTCTATAATAATAATAGTAAAAATAACAATAATAATAATATTGACAGTAATAATAATAATAATATTGTCAACTCTTCTGAATGAAGCTCAGATAAGATACAATCCACAACCTAACTTCAATTCCAAAATAAAATGTAGGCAGAAAATCCGGTGAAGAAGAATCTTATGCATCGCAGAACCCGGATTTTTGTACAAATATCTTTGTATACCACAAAACATGAAAGTAGACCATTCCCAACTCAAGCAGCAGTTCATTGGATGGCTAAAGTGTTGAACACCGAACTTACCCGCAAAAACGTCATCGCCGCAATTAATAGTTGGTCTACACCTATTCTCACATATTCCTTGGGAATAGTTAAATGGTCCAATACTGACTTGGAAATTCAGATGTTTACACCCCAACTCATCGACATCACAGCTTTATATCCCTAGAAAAGAAGGTGACAGGGGGCTTCTAAATATACGCAATATTTGCAGAAGTCAAGTCTCTTAAATTAGTGCGAAATTATTAGGATCCACAGACCGTAACATCCAGTCTATAAGAAATGCTGATAAAAACTTCAGACCACTCAACTTAGGCGTGCCAATTGTAGCAATAACAAACTTGGAAGGAAAAAGCACTTCATGGTAAGTACCCCCTAACACTGGAAAACAAAACATCATCACTACAGTGGCTTCATAAGGAATATCTTTATCCTGAAACTGAGGGCTTTATGCTCGCAATGCAAGACAAGGTAATTAGAACTAGAAATTATGAAAAAGGTATTTTGAAAATCAATGTCATTGATAAATGGAGGAAATCTGGCAATACTGGAGAATCAATAGAACACATCATGGGTGGGTGTAGTGCACTAACAGATAATGCTATTTAGGAAAGCGCAATCGAGTTTCAAAATCAGCAACTCGGAATGTTTATCGAAAGATACGCCTGCATTTTACAAAATCAATTCTCGAAAATAGGTCACATCTGCTATACTGGCATCGTCTGGTACTAACAGATACAACAGACCAGATATTCTCATTAATAAACAGGAAAATAAGGGGCAATCACTGATATTGCCATATCGTTGACTTACAATTTGAGATATACGGAAGCTGAGAAAGTTCGAAAATATGAAGAGCTGGTTATCCAGCTAAAACGAGTCTGGCGTCTTAACGAAGTAACCATATGTCCACGGGTTCTGTCAACGGAGGAAATTGTTACAAAAAATTTCACGAAAAACCTGGAGAAACAAGACATACAGAATAACATCTTTCATATATCACATACACCCACATCCTCTCCACCAATATCTCATCACCAATACCTGCAAAGCACAGAAATAAAAAAGTAAATAATAGTAATAATAATAATAATAATAAGAATAAGATTTATCGTCCAAAAGACATAATATCCATTGGCGAGAAAATCAATTGACTAAGTATACTTATGTGGTCAAAATAACCAAATAACGAAAATACCGAATATACACCAAAAAAAAAACATTGTAAAAAACCAACCCAAGCTAAAAGAAACATTTAAAGTAATATTAAAAAATAAAACTCAAAACCAAAAAATAACAGTACCTAAAATGAAACCAACAATCTATCTTTTAATGCTAAATATTGACATCTATCTCACCACATGTACAATTGTTTGAAAGGGTGCAATCGAAAGCTTAGTATCAAAATAAGATAACCAATTTTTTAAGGCCATCACTTAGTTACAGTTTTATATTGCATAGACAATAATAAAAATTGTTCCTGTTCGAAAAATTAAGAGGAAAGCCTGTTGGGTTTACACCATCTGTTGAAGGCGACAGTCATTTTGATAACGAACAACTCTATAAATTATATGCAAATGTTGCTGTCAAGAAACTAAATTAAAAATATATCCATTTCTGACTAAAAGTAAGCAGAAACATCCAAAACTGACAAAATTATAGGAAGACAATAGAAATGCGATGATGAGTTCCGATCACCATTCATAGAAAAATAAACATCCGCCAGCAAGTCACCGAGTGAGTTCCGAAACGCAATTATCTGAAAATAATTAAAATCTAATTTTATTAATGGATGTTCTGGGCGTTTTTTTATCCTCTTGACGGGCAGATGCAAAAATTCGAGCTCTAAAAGTGTTGGGAAAGCACTTCGCGTAAAACGACTTTTTCCCAAACTACGTCGACAAAAAAAAGTAACGTTGCAAAGTGTGTTTTTGTAGTGACGCCACCGTTAATGAACTTGTTTGGAGGAAATTGAGTGGGATGAGCGCGCGAAAAACTAGTCGAAAACGGAAACAGCGACGTGAAGATGCAATATTTGTCTCATCGCGTTTTGTACGCCTGCTCTATTATTCCATTAACGACAAGTATGGATTATGTTCTGTTCGTTCTGCGTAAATAGACTTTAATAATTCATTTAGACAGATCCCGACCACTATTTTTTGACGCCGATTGATAAATTAATGATTGTGTATGCTCGCACGTACAGAGACACATATTTTGTTACCAAAGTACCTAGAAAATTTCTTAGAAATGGAAATGGTGTTCTGAATTATGCAGATTTAAATGTAATGTTCTTAAAAATTATTTATTACAAATATTTTTTTATTTTTATCAAATTTGGTACACGCTTTTTTAACATCAAATGGCATTTTTGGCACAAAATGTTTTCTTATGTTTTTAGTACTGGCATCTATTTAAATGTTCGAAATTCGGGAGAGCGTTTTTAAAAACATTTGTTACAGGAAAAGAGGAATAAAGTTTTATTTGGACTAGCCAAAACAAAGGCTGGAATAATTAAGCACTTTTTTACAATGCAACAATCGAATATATAAGGCTTTTGATGCGATGACAGCCAGGTGTTATCTTCGCTTAGCTTTGTGCTTCGTCTGGTGTTCGGGGCATATAACTATCTGAATATTATTTTTGATAAGAAAAGTACACAAAAGATAAGTTAAGAACGAAAAATAAATAATTTCATTTTCAAATAGAAATATAATAAAATAAATTTTAAAAAATAATAGTATTATTAGAAACTTCTTATATCTCCTTTTTGGTCTCTTTAGGAGATATGTATCATCTATCCATCAACTGTAAGAATTTGTCACTAAAAACCTGGTTTATATTTGGAATCAGAAAGTTGAATTAAAATACAGGGTGTTCCATTAAAACAAATTTATTTAAGCGTTTTGTTTTTGATGTTTTTAAAAATTTGCATTAACTAGTTTTACCAGATAATTTGACGAACATATACGGAGTGCCTTACAGAAAATTTTAATGGAACACCAAGAATCGCCCAAAATCTGCAAAATCCATTTAAAATCGCAATTCGCAAATATCTATAGATCACTCAAAATTTCAGATACCCGAACATAAAATGATTTTTAGCGAACAGGTTGAGAACAAGACTTTAATATTATATCTACAAGAAATCGAACAATAGAAGGCATGTCCATACTATAGTATTTGTTTAGAACAAAAGCACGTTTTTTAATGGATACGCTGAATACCACAAAAATGATCACCCAAAACCAAGCATGATGGTTTTTAACATTTCCTAATTTGAAAAATTCTCCTGTTAGGATCCCAAGAGATAAAAGTTTTTCGTGTTTTTTCAAAATTATTTTATAAGGAGATGTACGAGGTGTGTTCATAAAGTAAAGTGACTTTTGCAATTGGGACTTAGCCCGCATATTCGATCTTCGATATATGTTTTTTGTTATATTGGTACACATGTCCCTATGTTCACAGTGTCAGCCAGTTTGCACGTTCACTTTTTTTTTGTGAGAGAGAAGCGTTAGACGTGTTTTGTGTGCTTGGCGACTTGCATTAAATTTTGTGTAAAAAAAATGTTTATAAT